AAATCAGAATCAGGGTTTTATTTCGCCATGAAAGTTCGCGCAGACAAGGAATTTACTTTGGCAGGAAGGTGCATACATTCAACATATAGGAATCTTAAATAAGTGGTTTACAAGTCTAACTATACTAAAGGTACAAAGTCTAACTAATACTAAGGAGCTAAAGTATGTAACAATTGAATAAAAGAAAATCTAAAATATACAATAGCTTTAATATACAATATAAAATTACAAAAATGCAAATAGGGTAACAGTGCAAAAATGGCAGGGTGTCATTGTGCAGATATTGTGTTAAACATTCATATTTTGTAATGTGATGGCTGTATGAAGGCAACATTGCGTATGTTGTTATTCAAGTTGGAGGTATTATATTGACTGTTCAAGAAAAGTGTGCGAACTTTGGCAGAACACATGGCTAGATGAGATAGTGACCTACGGCAGTGTTTCGATTTAAAGCTTTCGTTACTGCAGGGATTCATCTTGGTTCTTTCGGTAAAGTCACGTAGAAGGGAAATAATACAATAATAAAAATAAAACATAATAAATTACAATTCTCACGACGTTTTGGCCACAACGCTGCTAATCCTGCATAATGCACGGGCATAATGACTTTAAACCCCCCGCCAAACCTACGCATTTCACAAGTAGTACTAATCGCATATCTGCATTTCCCATAAATATACTAAATTCCTCTTGATATGCAAATTCTTTTGTCAAGGCGCCCTTCCCCCCTCCATCCCAGCTTAAATAGTCGCTCCAAGCCTGGAGTGTGTCATTCAGACTCTGTCTTCTCGACAGACCTGTTCTTCACCTGAGGACGGCTGCTTGCGTTGTGGCCGAAACGTCGTTAAAATTATTTTGTTTTATTTTTATTGTTTTATTATGTTTTATTATTTCCATTCTACGTGACTTTACCGAAAGAACCAAGAAGATACGGCAGTGTTGTTCACTAATTTTCTGAGGGGGGTCCACTTTCGCCGATAATACATCATCAGTGTGATGAGGGCCGCCACATTTGAAACCATTGTAGGTTTGACAGCAGCATGATGATGTGTGTGTTGTCGGGGGCCGCCAGTGACCCACGGGCCTTGCAATGAAGAAGACTGGCCTACAAGGTGAAGAATCGTTCCAATATAAATAAATACGAACACTTGGCACACGAACAAACCTGGTCCGTATGTCCAGTTGCCTGTTCGGACCGAGAGTCGTAAGTTCAACCACCACGCAATAGATGGCGGTGGTGGCATCTACATCTGCAGAACGTGAAGAACCAGTGGCATCTACATCTACAGAACGTGAAGAACCAGTGGCATCTACAGAACGTGAAGAACCAGTGGCATCTACAGAACGTGAAGAACCAGTGGCATCTACAGAACGTGAAGAACCAGTGGCATCTGCAGAACGTGAAGAACCAGTGGCATCTACAGAACGTGAAGAACCAGTGGCATCTGCAGAACGTGAAGAACCAGTGGCATCTGCAGAACGTGAAGAACCAGTGGCATCTACAGAACGTGAAGAACAAGTGGCATCTGCAGAACGTGAAGAACCAGTGGCATCTACAGAACGTGAAGAACCAGTGGCATCTGCAGAACGTGAAGAACCAGTGGCATCTACAGAACGTGAAGAACCAGTGGCATCTACAGAACGTGAAGAACCAGTGGCATCTACAGAACGTGAAGAACCAGTGGCATCTACAGAACGTGAAGAACCAGTGGCATCTGCAGAACGTGAAGAACCAGTGGCATCTATATCTGCAGAACGTGAAGAACCAGTGGCATCTACAGAACGTGAAGAACCAGTGGCATCTACAGAACGTGAAGAACCAGTGGCATCTGCAGAACGTGAAGAACCAGTGGCATCTACAGAACGTGAAGAACCAGTGGCATCTGCAGAACGTGAAGAACCAGTGACATCTACAGAACGTGAAGAACCAGTGGCATCTGCAGAACGTGAAGAACCAGTGGCATCTACAGAACGTGAAGAACCAGTGGCATCTACATCTGCAGAACGTGAACCAGTGCCATCTACATCTGCAGAACGTGAAGAACCAGTGGCATCTACATATATAGAACGTGAGGAACCAGTGGCATCTACATCTACAGAACGTGAAGAACCAGTGGCATCTACAGAACGTGAAGAACCAGTGGCATCTACATCTGCAGAACGTGAAGAACCAGTGGCATCTACAGAACGTGAAGAACCAGTGGCATCTACAGAACGTGAAGAACCAGTGGCATCTACATCTGCAGAACGTGAAGAACCAGTGGCATCTACAGAACGTGAAGAACCAGTGGCATCTACATCTGCAGAACGTGAAGAACCAGTGGCATCTACAGAACGTGAAGAACCAGTGGCATCTACATCTATAGAATGTGAAGAACCAGTGGCATCTACAGAACGTGAAGAACCAGTGGCATCTACATCTATAGAATGTGAAGAACCAGTGGCATCTAGATCTGCAGAACGTGAAGAACCAGTGGCATCTGCAGAACGTGAAGAACCAGTGGCATCTACATCTATAGAACGTGAAGAACCAGTGGCATCTACATCTGCAGAACGTGAAGAACCAGTGGCATCTAGATCTGCAGATCGTGAAGAACCAGTGGCATCTGCAGGATATTCTACAACTTTTAAAGCCATTCCCCCGTGTGTAGTGTACACGCCGTACAACACGTTTGTAATGGACAGGAGTAAAGTTGGATTTACGAACAAATCGACTTACGAACAGAGATTCCTCCCCCTTGGAACCGGCCTCGTTCCTAAGTAAAAGACTCCCCGCATTCCGATAGCCTCGTAAAATGTTTGTGTCGCGACGCTCACGCCAAAGACAATTAACATAATTAATGCGACACCGTCTCCCGCGGGCCAATCAACGGCGCTCGCCTTGCCGTGACGTCACCCGCAAACCCCGCCCCCCCCCGGCTGCCTTGGAGTCGGCATCACAGAAAACTGAGGCGGCCGCGGCCGCGGCTGTCAGGGGGCGAGGAGGAGGAGGAGGCGGAGACGGAACAACATCGCCACCATCCGCAGCCATCGGACACCACGGCCCCGCGATCGCCGCCTCCGTCCCGCGCCAATGGAGGCGGCAGAGGCCGGGGAGGAGGAGGCGGCGGCGGCGGCGGCGAGCGGGCGAGGCGCGCAGGCGAGTTCGAGGCGGGAAAGCGACGGGGGTAGCGACGAGTCGCGCTCAATTTGGTAGCGCGCTTCGGGGTGGCGCGAGGCCGCGCTCTTCTCCCATTGGTCGAGGGGGGGCGCTCGCGCTCCGAGCCCGGGCGGGGGGCGGGGGGGCGTGTTGTTGTGTGAACTGGGAAATGTGAAGCGGGGTTTTCGTGGTTTGTCTGGAGAGTTAAGGGAGACCCCCCCCCCCTTGTTTAAAGGGTCTCGAGTTAAGGGGGACCCCCCTCTTGTTTAAAGGGTCTCGAGTTAAGGGGGACCCCCCCCCCTTGTTTAAAGGGTCTCGAGTTAAGGGGGACCCCCCCCTTGTTTAAAGGGTCTCGAGTTAAGGGGGACCCCCCCCCCTGTTTAAAGGGTCTCGAGTTAAGGGGGACCCCCCCCCCTTGTTTAAAGGGTCTCGAGTTAAGGGGGGACCCCCCCCCCCCTGTTTAAAGGGTCTCGAGTTAAGGAGGGACCCCCCCCTGTTTAAAGGGTCTAGAGTTAAGGGGGGACCCCCCCCCCCCTTGTTTAAAGGGTCTCGAGTTAAGGGGGACCCCCCCCCCCTGGGGGGGTCTACAGTTCAGGGTCCGTGCGTGTGTTGAAGGGGTCTTGGTTTCATGTTTGATGTCCTCTCTTGAGAGTTAAGGGGTCCAACAATTGACGGTTCGTGATGGGACCTCACTCTGAGCTCTCTAAAGTCCTAACCGTGGCATGGTCTCTGTGCTGTTCGCCTTCTGGGCTAACACCGATGGAGACTCGGCTCTAAAGAAAGCCGTTACTGCCGTGGATCAATCGGTTTCAAAGACAAAGCATTGCACGTTCGCCACCAGTAGATGTGGTTAATGCAGACGTGATCCCTGCAAAAGGTTCACGTTTGGTGTTTTAACGTCTTAAAGCTGCTTGCTGTATTTCTCTGGACCCGAGCTCCGTTACATTTGTGATTGAGCAAATTGGCTATTATTGTAATTCCACTGCTTCATCTTAGCTGACGGTGCCGTTGCATTTGACATTGACCCCGGCTCGGGGTTACGTTTTCGAGTTGAACCCCGTGGGGTTAATGGGGCCCCCTGGTTAAGGGGTCAGGAGGTGGTAAGGGGGGGCCCCTGTTTCTCCACGTCCTGTGGTGGTTGACCGTTCCTCACTCTGGCCATTGAAGGCGCAGACTATTTTAAGGTGACCCATATTAAGAAGATCACCTGTGAAAAAAAGCTTCATAGCTCATCGGATTCCTCCTGTCGAAATAAAGAGTCGGATTTTCGTCAAATGAAGAATCCGACAAAGGTCACGGCGCAGGCTGAAATGTACGAGTCTCCAGTTAGCGAGTTCTGGGTAAAGGAAGAACGATTTCCCTTTAAGTGGGTCCCCATTTCGGGGGTCGTGACCCCACTGAATCTTATCCCCCCCCCCTCTGTGCGTCTCCACTCTTACAGGCGCTGATGCGGGTGAAGGGAGGGAGGCACTCCAGAGAGAATGGTACCAGGCTCATCATGACGGCACTCACATCCCACGACGTGATGGCATGAAATCTCCCTCCCCCGTGCCCGCAACCTTGCAGTTAACGTATTTTAAGGATTATAAAACGTCTACAATATTGGAACTGGCTTGATAACCAATGATAAACAGGCTACGATATGGCCAAGCGGTAGCATTTTCTGATTATTCTTGAGCAGTGTTCTTCACCCCCATCGTGCTGTCAAACACAAACGGTTTCCAATGGGTGGCGGCCCTTCTCACAATGACGATGTCTGAACGGCGAAAGTGGCCCCGCTCCTGAAAATTTGTGTAGACCACCGGTCTGGGGGTCTGTGGTTCAGGCGCAGTGGCCGCCCCAGTTAATACTGCAGCTGTACTGTACGCTTAGTTATGGTTGTGGGAGGTTGCGAGTTAAACTCGGCCCATCATCATGGGTTCGATTGTTTGTAAAGAGCGGTACTACTTTGTGGGAATGTCGAAAGTCGCTTCTGTGGATAGACGAGGGTCTTGCCATAGAAATGCGACATTTCCACAGCTGGCTCAGGACTGGAAACTGGTGATGAGCAACCTTAGATGCTCACTTGAGTGATAAATCGCTCTGACTTTTGACTGTGCTCACACGCGGATTGTAGCAACGTCGCGACAGCCGACGCGCTGGATGAACGCCGCCGACACCAAACCCGTGCCGGTGGTTCGATGGGCGACATTGATTTGTAACCAGCGTGCGACCGTTGCTCCCCCGCCAGGCCAGCGCGGCGCGCCGTCGGGCGGAGGAGGAGGAGGAGGAGCCAAGCGGCGCAAGCAGTCGCAGCAAGCGCAGCCGTGCCCCGTGTGCGGGGGTCCGCTCTCGGGCTCCCTGCACGAGCGCAGCCAGCACGTCAACGCCTGCCTCTCGCGGGTGTGTCCACGAGCCCCTGCCACGAGGGGTGGGGGGGCGGGGGGGGGGGCACACCATGGGCAGGGTCCGTGGCCAACACCGCACCTGGCTGCCTGTGTTGAAGTTGACACGCCGCGCCAGGCGCTCATCTTAAGGCTACGTTGACCTAGGGGAGGCCCAGGACTCGAACTCGGGTCACCGCCACTTAGTAGCTGATGGCGGCCGTTGTGCTGTGGTATCTTCACAGGTGCTAACAGCACTTGCCGCAACAGTGGTCACGGCTATACGGGTTATCTTTGTCTTGTTGTGTACCTACGTGTGAGTGTGCGATTGGCGGTTGTTGTTGTGTACGGGTGCATATTGCTGTGTGCTCTCGTGTGAGCAGGGCTGTGTGGCCGAGAGCCGCGGTGGCGGCGGCAGCGGCAGCAGTGGTCGCGAGGAGCTGAAGGTTTGTGTGGACGGGAGCAGCTCTGAGGAGGAGGAGTCGTTTGAGGAGTACGAGTGGTGCGGGGAGACGCGCATCCGAGCCAGCTCCCTGCTCGTCGGAGGATACCGCGGTGAATGCACGCGCACCTGCCGTTTGCCGTCACCAGGTGGAATCGTCCACTGCTGGATGAAAGCCCTGCCCAAGCCCTTGTGCATGACTGTGTGTGATTGCCTGTGTTTGACTGCTGGCGTTCAACAGCCCCTCCGCATGTGTGTGTGTGTCTGCCTCTGTGTGTGTGTGCGTGTGTCTGCCTCTGCGTGTGTGTGCGTGTGTCTGCGTGTGTGCGTGTGTCTGCCTCTGTATATGCATCTGCCTCTGCGTGTCCCCGTGTGCAGGCTCGGGGTTCGTAACGAACAGCGGTGTCTGCCACGAGAGTGAGGGGGAGTTGGACGTCGAGGGAGATCAGAGTCTGCAGTTCGGCTCTCCCCAGTATCCTCCCGGCACTCAAAGCTCACGAGCAGACGCAGCCACGGGCAGTCATCGGCCTCGACGAGATCCTCCGTGGGAACCTCCCTCTGCCTTCCATTCCACTCTGCTCCCCTCCACATACTCTCCTACCAGTCCCCTCTCATCTCTGGGTGCTGCCCTCCCGGGAACTCTCCGCTTCTGCAGCGAAGACTTTCCTATCAAAATTCCCCAGTCAACCTTCGCCCAGTGGGACGTTACCCTTAGAGTCGAGAACTCCCTTCCCTCAGCCGTCCGTGCTGTCAGCTCCCTTACCGTGTTCCAAGTCCAGGCTGCAGGACAATCTTTTCTCCTCGGGCCGCCTCCTATGAAATACAACGCCTTGAGATGCGGGCTCATATCGATGCCCTGTGAATCCACGTCACGTATTGCATGGCGCCTGCTGCTGTATATTTGGAGTTTGCGTCTCTCTCCCCGTGGTCGCGTGGATTTTTCTCCGGGTCTTCCGGTTTTCTCTCCGCATTTAGAATCGACGTGTTCAAGAGCAGTTTGGCTGCTATGATTTTCCACGCGATAATCCATCTTTGTAGAGCCATCATTTTTGTTGAGCCAGATCGCTTCTGAAAAAGAGCTACATGGCTCAGCGGGCCTTACCCGGTACAATAAAATAAAAACCTTTATCGTCGTATCGTCGCAGTCCCGAGTTGCCGTGCCGTGCGAGTTCTTTAGAGTTCCTGAGCGGGGGCGGCGAGCAGGTACACGGAGGCGGACGTGGTTCCGTGCGACGAGGACGGGCAGGGGGACGCCCTGGAGCGGCAGGCCCTTCGTGGGGCCCTCATCAAGTGAGGGCCCCACGTCGCCCCTCGGCTCACAACACTCGGCACCCCGACAACGAGCCCCCCGGGTCTACCCCCTAACACTGACCCCCTAACACTGACCCCCTAACACTGACCCCCTAACACTGACCCCCTAACACTGACCTCCTAACACTGACCCCCTAACACCGACCCCCTAACACTGACCCCCTAACACTGACCCCCTACAATCAGCCCCCAGGGTCTACCCCCTAACACTGACCCCCTACAATGATCCCCCTGGCTCTACCCCCTAACACTGACCCCTACAATGATCCCCCTGGCTCTACCCCCTAACACTGACCCCCTACATCCCCCTGGGTCTACCCCCTAACACTGACCCCCTACAATCAGTCCCCTGGCTCTACCCCCTAACACTGACCCCCTAACACTGACCCTCTACAATCATCCCCCAGGCTCTACCCCCTAACACTGACCCCCTACAATCAGCCCCCTGGGTCTACCCCCTAACACTGACCCCCTAACACTGACCCCCTAACACTGACCCCTACAATGACCCCCCTGGGTCTACCCCCTAACACTGACCCCTGACAATGATCCCCCAGGGTCTACCCCTGACTTACACGTGATCGATGCCACCCTGTAACGCACACGCCGTGGGTGTAGTGGCACGTGTGCGCGTGTACGAGTGGGTGCACGTGCATGCCTGTGTACGCGTGTGAACACGTGTGTGTGTGTGTGCGTGACTGTGTACGCGTGTGAACACGTGTGTGCGTGTGTGCGTGCCTGTGTACGCGTGTGAACACGTATGCACGTGCGTGACTGTGTACGCGTGTGAACGTGTGTGCGTGTCTGTACGTACGCGTGTGAACACGTGTGCACGTGCGTGCCTGTGTGCGTGTGCGTGCCTGTTTGTGTGTGTGTGTGAACACGTGTGCGTGCGTGCCTGTGTGCATGCGCGTGTGAACACGTGTGCGTGCGTGCCTGTGTGCGTGCGTGCCTGTGTGCGTGTGAACACGTGTGCGTGCGTGCCTGTGTGCGTGCGCGTGTGAACACGTGTGCGTGTGAACACGTGTGTGTGTGTGTGCGTGCCTGTGTGCGTGCGCGTGTGAACACGTGTGTATGCGTGCCTGTGTGTGTGCGCGTGTGCAGTGGAGATGTCCCCTGTACGCGGCTGAGTGGAGAACCTCCTAAGTGGGAGCGACCAGAGGGTGGGTTCCAAGCTCGCACACGTACACACCTACGCACACGTACACACACGTACACACACGTACACACACACACACACGTACACACACACACACACGTACACACACACACGTACACACACACACGTACACACACACGTACACACACGTGCACACACGTACACACACGTACACACACACACGTACACACACGTACACACTCACGTACACACACACGCTCGAGTACACGCTCACCTACACGCTCACGTCCACGCTCGCATACACGCCCATCTTGATTCTGCACCCTCTCTGCGACACCTCTTTTGGCCCACCGCGACCCCCACAGACGACATTCCGTCTACGAGCAGCGCCGCGGGGAGCAGCGAGAAGAGCAGGACACAGCGCAACAGCGACATCCACAGGTGTGTGCATGTGTGTGTCCGCACATGCGTGTGTGTCCGCACGTGCGTGTGTGTGCATGTGTGTGTCCGCACGTGCGTGCGTGCGCGTGTGTGTGTGTGTGGGGAGCGGTGGTGCAGCGTTTAGCGCGCTGCGCTATGAACTCGGCAACCCGAGTTCGATTCCCGCTCACGGCCAACACCACAGTGACAATTATCTGAACCGGTCCTGCGCCTCCTCTGGGTCGACTCAGCCTCAAATGAGTACCCGGTGCGGTGTGTAAACATCGCCACGGGGGAGACAAAGGCGGTCGGGCGTGGTGCTGGCCACCCACCTCCTCGTGTGCCGTGCCGGCCTTCATAGGTGCTGCTCATTAACAGCACTTTCCCCAACAGTCTGTTAAGGCTACACTGGGGGATCTTTGTCTTTGTGTGCCTGTGTGTGTGTCAGTCATCTCCCCCAATGAGTGCCTGCCTGTCGCGGTGTGTAAACATCATCACGGTGGTGCTCGCCACACCACCCGGCCTTGCCCCCCGCCAGCCTTGATGGGTGCGCACTAAACAGTGCTCGCCACAATGGCCTGTGTAGGCTTAGATGGAGGATAATTGTACTTGTGCCTTTGACCAAATCAGCTGGAATGTGACCGATCTTGTCCAGATCTTCAGCCTTGATGGTGCGTATAAGGCCCGCAAAATCATTTGGTCTGTTCCAGCCATCGCGTTAGGGGTGAGTTAATTAAATGTTTGACCAAACATAACGGCCAAATTTTTAAGTTGCTAATTTTGCATGGCCCGCGAATGATGTTACAAATATCCAAATGGCCCTTGGCCTCTGTTGTGGAAAAGGCTGTCAGTGCGCGTGCGGTCGAGGGGAGACACTTTTTCCCTTCCGCTTTCAGGCCGGGCAGCAGCTCCAGCGGCGTGATGATCCAGGCGCTCAAGGCCCGGGTTCAGGAGCTGGAGAGGCTGGTGGAGAGAGGAGACCGATACCACTGCCTCATATGCATGGCGAGTCTCTCGCACGTTTACTCGGCACGAGCTGCTGCTGCTGCTGCCGCCCCTGTTGTGTGAATATGCGGGTCTTGATGAGGTATTGAGGGTGCGTCGACCCGTACGTGGAGAGGCACCGCAGCAAACTACGATGTAGCAATGTTTCAGTTCCTGCATGAAATCTCCAAACCCTTCATTGACAATTCCTATACGCGCAAAACGTGAGTGTGGATATGTGTCTTGGTACGTGTGTTTGTTTGTGCACTTGTGTGGATTTGGCTTCATAGGTGCTACTCACGAACAGCACTTGCCCCAGCAGTCTGTTAATGCTACACGGGGTATCTTTGTCTTTGCAGGAGCCATACACTCAGCCGCTCGTGTCCGTGCAGTGCTGGCACGTGCACTGTGAGGAGTGCTGGCTGCGTTCACTGGTGATTAGCCAAGTTACACGCACACACGCACACACGACACACGCACACCCGCACGCACGACACACGCACACCACAAAGCACTCGCGCACACGCACACAGACGGTTGCGGTTCGAATCGAGCGGCCGTGCCAGTTATTACTGTGGGTACAATAACCCTAATAATACTCGGTGCCGGATTAAGCTAGTGCAGGGCCTGTAGCATTATGTTATAAAGGGGCCCTAAATTAAACAAAAAACACGTAAATATTAAAACACTTTAATTTTTTACTTGCACAGTAAAGTAATTGTATTTTTTCATTCGCTATACGGCCAGATAATACGACTAATCGCTAACCATAAACACACGGTCGTTCGTAAAAGTTGAAGGCGGTGTAGTACTATAGTAATAGAGCTGGTGCAGAATCACTGAACCGGAATTGATAGCTTGAAAGCATTTAGCACGATGGCCCTTGAAAGTGCGGGACCCGTAGCTACTACACGTGCAGCTACTACACGTGCAGCTACTACATTAGTAGCTACTACATTAGTAGCTACTACATTAGTAGCTACTACTACACGTGTAGCTACTACATTAGTAGCTACTGCACGTGCAGTAGCTACTAATAGCTACTAATGTAGTAGCTACTAATGTAGTAGCTACTAATGTAGTTACTGCACGTGCAGCTACTGCAAGTGCAGCTACTACATTAGCTACTTCATTAGTAGCTACTACTACACGTGTAGCTACTACATTAGTAGCTACTACATTAGTAGCTACACGTGTAGCTACTACATTAGTGGCTACTACACGTGTAGCTGCTACACATGTAGTGACTGTTGCTCCGAGGGTAATCCGGCACTGGTAAATACTCGGCACCGTCTACTCCACAGTGGACGGTAAAGATCCCCCTGACGTCATTCGCAAGACTCGACGGTTATCTGGTGCCATCAGGATCCATGTTTTACAAAATACCCACAAAGCTCCTCTTGAGTTTCGAATTTCAGTATTGTGTTTGGTAATTTATTGAAGGCGGAGAGGGGTTAACAGCCCCTCACACGTTCGTCACTTTAGTCGTCGTGAACGCTACGAGGATAATGAGCCAATTAGCGTCAGCCCCCCCCCTCCCCTCCCAATGGCATTGCTCACAACACGCTGGCGTTACCGTCTTGACAACCGTGTGACCACCATTATTTCCCCGCCTTCCGTAGGGTGCCAAGAAGCTGTGCCCTCGCTGCAACGCCATCACGTCGCCTCGCGACCTCCGCCGTGTCTACCTGTGACCCCCCCCCCCACAACCGCCTCCACCACCCGTGATTCAGCCCCGCCGCCCCCCTCCTCCCGACAAGTGAAGCTGCCGCCTGCTACCCTGCGTGTGAGCTCGCCATCGCCATCCCCGGCGACCCAAGCAGAGCGTCCAGGTTCGCCAAATCCCTCGGCCTTTGGAGCCGCCGTCTGCGGCGTGGACTCGCGCGTGAAACGGCACGGAACCGGCGCCGCGTAGCCGAGGCGCTCCCCGACTACTCCAATGGCCGTCTCTCCTTCACTCCGCGGGTCGCCCGCCCCGTCTGCTGTGACGTTCGATCGAGACAGGGTGACGAGCGGAGCCGAGGGATTATTTTTCCTCAATTTTTTGGTGGGGGGTCGCTGGTAGGGTGGAGTAGGTGACAACGTAATAATGGTAGGCACAGCCACGGTGAGGCCTAATCCGTCACTGAATATTTACGAGGTCATTTTGTAGATGGCAAGCGACACGTCGCCACGGCGAGAGGCATACCGAATGCGGTTCGCTGGGAGGAGCAGAGATATTTTTCGGGGGTCGCCGTGCCGGGCAGACCCAGTTGAAGGCTGGAGCCCTCGTCATGGTCAGGTTTGGGGGGGGGGGGAAGGTTGCCAAGGTGAACCCGTGAGGGCTGATGGGGAGCCACAGTGCATCATGTGGACCCCCCCCGCCCACCCACAATCCGAATGGACTCGGAGATATTTTCTATGTCTCGATGTCCAGCGTCGTCGCGATCGGCAGCGTCGTCACCGTCATCACCAGACAAGTGGAAGTGTATGACGGGGAGCCGAGTTTGGTCTGGGACTTTGTGTTGATTTTGAGACCGTGTGTTGATTCTGAGACCGTGTGTGTGTGTGGTCTTATCGTCTCCGCCGACTTGTGTGACTAGAGGGGTCGTCTCTGTGTTGCGCGTGCGAGGAAAGTCGCCTGGGATTTTGGGCCGGATGCCTCTCTGCGCCCGACGACTCGACGTTTCTTTTGCTCGGATTTCTTTTGTTCTTCAACAAGTGTACATAATGTGATGGCGGTGATATTGTATGCATTAATAAAAACAATTCCCACGACCCTCCAGACTGCCGAGGTCGCGATCGCTTCGGGGGTTGCTTGCGGCCGTGTCCCAGTCCCGAGGTGTGGTGCAACAGGCCGTGATTTGATTTGGGGGGGGGCAGCAGTGGTGGTGGGGGGGGGTTATTTCCCCCTTGGCTCCGCTTTTGTGATCCCCCGGGGAGGATTGCTCGGTAAATTGTGAGGCTGCTCTGGTCCAAGCGCAGTTCGGTAAAAAAATAAAACTCGAATTTATTGAGCCGCAATGAATGTGAACACAGTGGAACCCATCTGAGCGACCATCGCTGTTAACGAGCAATTCCACGACAGGCCTCCATAGAGCCCAATGTGCAGTGTATAGTGGAGTGTATAGCAGTGTAGTGTGTAATGTATAGTGCAGTGTATAGTAATGTATTGTATAGTGGTGTAGTGTATTGTAGTGTAGTGCCACCATAGAGCCCAATGTATAGTGTATAGTAGTGTATAGTGTAGCGTATAGTGTATACGTGGCCTCAAAGTGCACATGGCCTGGCATAAGCGTCGTGGTGACGTCACCGCCACTTAGTGGCGAATGGTGGTTGTTGTAGTGTATAGTGTAGTCGTGTATAGTGTAGTGCCTCCATAGAGCCAAATGTTTGTTCACCTACCATTCCCCTGTTCACGATGGGCTGTTGCCAGTAGTCAATAGCAATGCATTGATTCACCACGTTTCCTTTAATGCGCTTATATTGATGTTAGCATCTTCATCTATTGTCCATTTGTTTAAATGTCATAAAGTACTGTAGGTCATTTTGGGTGAAAAAAGGCGAGGGGGTGGGGGCGAGGGGGTAGGGGTAACTTTCGATGCTGCCCGAAACGAATCTTGCCTTCCACATGCATTTCCCGTACTCGCTGAACGACTAAATCACCTAACGACCGCTTGTTGGGACCCGATTACCGTCGTTCAGAGGAGGGGTGGGGTGGGGATGGCTCCGCTGGGACGTCGCAAAGCAGCCCTTGGAAGGTCCGGATCATGGTCCTGTGAAGCTCCTGGGCACATCTTTTGGAGAACGCCGACTAGCAGCTGAAGTGCCTGCAACGACTCAAGCGATTTAGTTGGGCACTTCTCAGAGTCAGGCGTGAGAGACTTGAATTGGATGAGTTCGTTGGCAAAGTTCATGTCCAGGTCTGATGGATATGCAGCGGAGAGTGCATTTACCTTTTCCACTGTGACATCACTGTTAGACACCCAAGGCATGCCACCAGCTGATCAATGACCACATACAATGTTTCTATTTTGAACCTCTCCCTCCCCTCAAGTGTCACGTCTGCCTCCGAGCTCTCATCTGCAAATGTTTTGCGTTTCCTCTTTCGCTGAAGATCGTGATTTTATTACGACTGAGATACCCGTCACATTTAAGGCTGCCCTTTCAAAAGCCTCAAACTGGTCTCGTCTTTCAGTAAAGTCACGTAGCTGATAGGTCCAAAGAAAATAACGAATTTCCATTGTGTACGTCATCCAGTTGTACGAGCCCGACTTGTATGGCAGGCGGATCACCATACGGACGGACCATGCCGCCTTACAATCCTCCTTGCGCATAGATCAACCCTGAGGTCAGTTGTCCCGCTGGCTTGAGGTGCTGCAGGAGGATGCGTTCACAGGAAGGGGGCACAGCACGGAAATGCGGATGCATCATCTCGCTTGCCACAGGACAGGAGGTGTGCAAGCACGACTGCCTCGAATCGTTGCAGAGCTCCAGTTGACTCCATGCCCCAGAGCAGCGACTCGCCTCGAGGGTTGTGGCCTTGGTCCCCCTCGCGATGAATAGTCTCGCCCACAGATACCTCTGTTGAAATGTCGGCGCAGGGTTCAATCTGGCAAGCATGACTCAAGCCCGACGACCTACCCGGCCGTTGCCCTGCATGACGGCCTCCTCGTGCGTTGGGACGCGTAGCTGGAGAGGTCCTGTATTGTGGTGCCCACAGACCTGCGGCGGAAACAGACTCGTGTAATAATTGGTTTTTTACCCTTCTATCTGGCAACAAAACTGACACCTTTTTTTTACGAGGAGTCATGTTTGCATAGACCACAATACCTGCAGTCATAATGCAAACAAAAAACATAACTCTGATAATGTATGCACTGTCCTTGAAGTGGATTGGTCCACACCCGAGACAGCTTTCCTTAGAGCCTAGTCTCACATGGTGTTGGACCAGATGACGACAGAAGGCGCACTTTTTCTACTGGCAAATTAGGTTCCAATGGTGTAAAGACTCGTGTAATTCACGAGAAATTGATGCACCTCGGGACCCACGAAACCTTGTTGACCGTTAAGCGCGGCTACTACTAGCCGGGCAGGGAAAGCGACGTGGCGCTATTTGTTAAAGGCTGCCAGGATTGCGCGCGTCTGAAGCCTACGGCTTCCTCGTGTCAACAAACTTGTGGCCCTTGACATTTTGGGCCCATTCCCAACTTCTCAGCGAGGCCACAAGCATCTGCCGGCCCATGGCGTGGCCCTTACAAGATCAAGTCGGCCTCGTCCATGACCGACGCTTTTTTGCACGGCTACATTCTAGATGAGGGTGTACACCTGGAGCAGATTCTGACCGACCACGGTCGGAATTTTTCTTCTACAGCTCAACAAGATCTGGGACCTCGTCGGTACAAAGTAAATCCGTACCTCGCCCTACTCACCCTCAAACCGATGGGATGATGGAGCGTTTAAATGGAACCCTCACTTCCATGCTATGCCACCAAGTGAACGCGACCAGTCGGACTGGGACCTGTTTATCATGCCTCAACGGGGTTTTCACCCTTGTATTTGATGTACGGGAGGGAGCAATGCACGTGCAAATGGGCCTGGGCTCAGCTAAAAATGGATCCCACCGTGCCAGCTTCGATGAAGGTCACCAGTGAAACGTCGAACTCCAATTTGTAAATGTTGCGGATTTACACTCCAACACACCGATGGTAGTCACCAATTGGCACGCGTTTTATTTACGTGACAAATCCCCTTACTAACATTTGGCCGGGTCGTGTGGTGGAAGGTTACGGACACATTTAGACTTACGCGATAAAAAAAAACTTTAGAATATTGGTTGCGAAAGCCTGCTACTACGTGTTAAACAAACATGCTCCGACAATGTTTTTGAAACGGATTGGCCTCCACACGAGACGGCGGCCTTCTTGAAATGGCTTAGTCATTTTAGTCCAGAGAACAGCGTCCAAAAGGCGGACAGTGTCAGAGAGGGATGACTGATTAAAGTTATACTGGTAGGAACCTCCTGGTTACACCAGCCCGCAGGGGATTCTTCTGTCCGTCCGTCGTGCAGGGAGGGGCTGGGTGGGGAGGGTGGGAGGGGTGGGGCTGGGTGGAGAGGGACTGGGTGGGGCTGGGTGGGGGGTGGGAGGGGTGGGGCTGGGTTGGGGAGGGGTGGGGAGGGGCTGGTCACCCCGTGGTGCCCTTATAAAACTCAACGTTTAACCTACTCACGCCGGCTTGTGCCCGCCCTCACAGTCGGGCATATTTGCGGAATACACCACGCCGCCGTTGACCCTGGCCATTGACCGAGCAACCCAACGTTCCTACCAGCTCCCTCCGCAGGACAATGTTATTTAAAAAATACAAAAATGACGAGATGGACGTTCTTTGCATTTTTATTCACCGTTCCAGAAGCCCGTCTTACATTCGTGTGTCAAAAACACAAACATTCAAAAATATCTCGACAACCTGGAGTGGACTTTATAAAGCACAGCACAGCGTGTGACCCATCATCCCCCGCCCCCCCCAACCCCCACCGAGTAACGAGATGGCAGTCCAAGCGACCCTTGATTTGTATTGGAAGAGGATTGAGGTGGCCGGATCCACACACTTTCATTTGGGATGCAAATGCCCCCCACGTTCAAATGGATCCGTCCTCACCCATCCGTAGCCACAAGCAGCTGGGCCACTCGGACGAAACCATCACGCAATAAAAACAGGGGGAGGGGGGTGGGTTCTATTTAAATGGTGCTCAACATTTTTTTTTCATTTCTCCAAACCAGTAAATTGAATGGCACAGCACAGTATAAGATGCAAAAATTTTGTTCACATTTTTGTAGATAACATTAAGAATATATATTTATTTTTAAATCGTAGACAATATTTATCTTACATGCATTGATAGCAATTAATTTAGAGGTTGTTTTTTTTATATTCCGTACCAAAAGTGATATTTTAAAAAACAACAACCGTGTACAGTACTCGACTAAACCGACCATTGCAGATTTGTTCTCAAATCGCCGCCCCGGGCTCCAACCTTAGCAGCCCCCGCCGACCTGCAAGGAGAAACACCGCAACTCTCCTCGAGAGTTTTACAAAGTGGGGAATACTCGCGGAGACACGACGACCCCCCCCACGGGGTTGGCGGACAGAGCGGGGGGGGGGGGGGGCAAGCTTGCCCCAGGGCGGTGGGCAGCACGGCAAGTAGGATCAAGAGCAGGTTCACACGCAGAAGTGGAGCAGCGCCCCTTTGGCAAGAAGTGGCCCAAAACGTCCCCGCCAATGTCAGACCAGGAGACCCTCTTGAACGCACAGATGGGAGTATTGGGTGGGGGGGGAGGGACTTGTCGAGGCATCTCCGCCACGACTCCGTCCTCGTGGTGTTTGATGGGGTGTGGGGGGCTACCCCCGCCCCCACCACGCAATTTCTAACAATCATAGCGGAGGTGACAGAAGTGGGGGGGGGGGGGGGTCAAGACGGATGCGGTGAGAGGACTGATAACGACAGATACGAGATGAGCTTTCGACAAATGGAGAGAGATGTGAGGTTCTATTTTTGTTCATCATCTTGGCTGGTTGCTAGGATTTCAATTCGGGCCGATGTTTGGTTTCACTCCTCTCATGTGGGGGGGGGTCCCGACAACGACTTGGGAGCCTTGAGGGGAGATTGTCCTACAGCCAGCGCCACCAGCTGATAGGAGTATTTACACGAGAAGACGGCGTGCACACGAGGGGCGGTGGGATCGCATCGACGCGGCAAACGACGCCGGTAAAACAAA